TGAAGGGAGAAATCGGACAAGGCAAGATATGACAAAATAATAATTTATAAATTATCAAGGGCTCATGAGGGAGGGGAAAAAATGAGGAGCTGATGCCAGGGGCTTAAGTGGAGAACAAATGTTTTGAGAATGATGAGGGCAATGAATGAACAAACATGCTTTACACAACTGATGTATGTAAGGATTGTGACAAGAGTTGTATGAGACCCTAATAAAATGATTTTTTTTTTTTTAAAGAAAATGCAGACTTGGTGACAGATGAAGCTGGAGATCTCATGATAGAATTTTCCAAAACCAAAGACTCGTTCATAACAAATACCCTTTTTTCAACAACACAAAAGGTGTATTATACACCTGGACTTCCCCAGATGGAACACAAAAGAATCAAATTAGCTATATCTGTGAGAAAACATGATGGAGAAGCTCAGTATCAGCAGCTAACAACAGACCAGGGGCCAAATGTGGAACAGACCATCAATTGCTTATATGTAAGTTCAGGATAAAGCTGAATAAAATTTAAAAAGATAGGACCTAGAGTCTATCCCATCTGAATTTTGAAAACATCTCAAAAAACACATTTGATGCACTGAACACCAATGACAGAAGACCAGATGAGCTGTGGGAGGACATCAAGAACAGCATTCATGAAGAAAGCAAAGGGTCATTAAAAAGAGACAGAAAAGATCCAAGTGGATATCAAATAAACTCTGAAACTTGCTATTAATCATAGAGTAGCTAAAGCAAGTGGAACAAGGAAGAAGGAATTGATTAGAAATTTTCAAGGGGCAGCTTGAGAAGACAAAGCCACATATTATAAAGAAATGTACAAGGCTCTAGAATTAGAAAGTCAAAAAGGAAGGACATGCTCAGCATATCTGAAACTGAAAGAACTCAAGAAAAAATTCAAGCCTCGAGTTGCAATTTTGAAAGATTTTATAGGCAAAATTGAAGGAGGCATAAAGCATCAAGAGAAGATGGAAAGAATAAACAGTCAATGTACTTGAAAGAACTAGTCACAAGTCTACCATTTCAGGAGGTAGCATAAGAGACAAGAACCAATGGTGCCAAAAGAAGTTCAAATTATACTGAATACATTAGCCCAAAACAAGGCTCCAGAGATTGATGGAATATTTGAATACTGAAATACTCAATACTTGATCATCTATGCCAGGAAATGTGGAAGGCAACTACCTGGCCAACTGACTAGAAGAGATCCACATTTGTGCCCATTCCAAAGAAAAGTGACTCAACAGAAGTCAAACTATAGAAGGATATCACTGATATCACATGCCAGTAAAATTTTCCCAAAGATTGTCCAACAGGATTGGAGCAGTACTTTGACAGGGAGCTGCCAGAAATCAGGATGGATTCAAAAGAGGGTGTGGAACAAGGGACATCATTGCTGATGTCAGATGGAGTTTGGCTCAAAGCAGAGCATACCAGAAAGATATTTACTTGCATTTTATTAACAATGCCAGGGCATTCAACTGTGTGGCTCATAACAAACTATGCATAATTTTGAGAAGAATGGGAATCCTAGGACACTTCATCATGATCACTCAGAACTTATCATGGATTAATAGGCAGTTGTGTGACTAGAACAAAGGAATATTGCATGGTTTAAAATCAGGAAAGATATGCATCAGGGTTGTCTCCTCTCACCAAACTTTGAATTATGGTGCTAGAGAAGAACATTGAAAGTGCCATGGGCTGTTATAAGGACAACCCAATTTGCATTAGAAGAAGTAAGTCCAGAGTGCTCCTATAAGGCATAGATGCCAGGAAACTGTCTTACATACTTTGGACATGTTTTCAGTGGGGAACAGTCCCTGGAGAATACTATGATAGGTAGACTTATTGTGCCAACCTGGCCAATAGGAACATGTGGGATTAATAAGGTCGCAGTTTGATCAGAGGGCAAAGAGATAAAAGGCTCGAAAAGGCCGCCCCTCTCTCTCCTGCTCTCTGGTGATGGGACGAGCATGTAGCTGCTTTAGCTAGTTCTCTGCCTCAATTTGTGAGCTACACTAACCTGTGGGACAGTCAACCCGTAGATTGTGTCGCTAGAGCTTGAGGTTCCTTCGCCACGCTGCTGGTATAGACATTGCTTGAGCTTGAGGCTGGTGGGTCCTGTGGTTTTGCATTGCTTGAGTTTAATATCCCATCAGGGCCTGTTTTGCTAAGCTCCTGAATTGCTGACTGACTGTTGGTGACCTGCCCTGCTGTTTGCTGCCTGTGGCCGGACTGCCTGCATTGTTCTAGGGAAGATTCAGCTGTCTGCTTCGTTCACCTTGGATGCAGCAACCCTTCTGAATTGACAGGCTTCCAGAATACTAACTGTTCCACAGAAGTTATATAATCATAAGTGTCCTGGTTTTGTTTCTCTAGAGAACCTTGTCTAACACAACAGTGAAAAGGAGGAAGATCTTCAATAAAAATGGATTGACACAGTGCCTACAACAAGCACAAATATGACAGTTGTGAGAATAGCACAAGATTAAGTGTGTGTCATTCTGTTGTACAAAGTGTCACTGTGAACTGGAATCAACTCAGTGGCACCTACCCATGGCAATGACACCACCATCTTATACTAACAAAAAAAACATATAAGATAGTGGGTGAGCATGGGCAGGGAGGTGATAAAAACAAAACAAAACACACACAAGATAAAATGCACATTACTATCAGTAATCAAATGTATGTATTGGGCAAAAACCAAAAATGACCATATACTCTCCTCTATTAAATTTACTCTCAAGTTGAGGATTTGAGTTAATATTTTTCTTTCTTCTGCAAGACCTACAATGTAGTTGTAGAGAATGCGATTATCCATAATCAAGTTTTTAAGGCATTCATTCCTAATGGAAACCACTAGGACAAATTTTTTAAAGAAATATTTTAATAGTAATTTGGTAGCATACATCCAAAAAACATTTAAGCAGCTAGAGAAAACTGATAAATTGTATCATTGTTTTATCTCTATATAATCTTGAGAAAAGATGTTCATATTAGGAGTCTTTCTCATTTTTTACTGTAAAGGCATAGTCTTTCTTGGGCTCAAGTGACCTGACTTGTTATTTACAAGTATTATTAAGGTTTAAAACAATCCTTCTTTAATAAAAAAACAAACATCCCAATGACATCCTACTCATCTTGGAGACTCACTTCAACTGCTCCTCATACCCTTTCAGGCTGGACTTTTTATTTCTCCTTTCCTTCTGACCCTGAATTCGGAATATCTTCTTCCTGAGTTCTTTCTGCTGTGTCCGTTTCTCCTCCTCTTCCTTTTGTTTCACTTTGAAGTGCTCTTTATTCTGCAGATGCTGTTGCTCTTTGGCCTTCTTCACCTTATGACTGTGCACTGTACTCAGAGCATCCAGCACTGCAAGGATCTGATATGAAAACTCAATGAGTATCAGAACATTCTTACAGCTATTACATGCTTAAATCTAAGTTTCAGAGGACCTAACCACCTCAATTGATTTTTTAAGACTAGACTTAATCTATAATCTGAAATAAGTACCTAGTAAACATATATCCTAACTGGTAAATAACAATTTACATGAAGATCAAAGTAAAAGCATATTTACTTAGCAAACTATCGTCAGCTCTCTGTATCCAATGTTCCATATCTATAGAATTAACCAACCACAAATTGAAAATAATTGGAATGCAAAAAATAATTACGTGGTCAAAGCTATCCATTAAAGGCTAAGAGGGAGCATACAAAGTGCTATTTATATAGCAATTGCATTATATTAGGTATTATAAGTTATCTAGAGATGATTTAAAAGTATAAAGAGGAACATGTGTATGTTATATGCAAATACTATACCATTTTATATAAGAAACGTGAGCACCCATGATTTTGGTATTAGGGTAGGAAAAAAGATAAATATTTTCCTCCAAAGCCAGAAACAAAGTTGAAGGTTAAACAAAGTACAGTTATATAAATCTAAATCTCACAATTTTTTAATAGAAATAATATATAAGGAAATAAGTATTGTCAACACTAACAATTTATAAAAAATGTTGGTTTTGCTTGTTTCTGTCTCAAATCCCATCAGTTATATAAAGGGTGCAGAGTGATTCATCAATTGGGTAGGTCCTATTACGATCCTCCTTATTAAAATGCATAAGCCAGAACATGACTAAACGAAAGAGGGGAATAGATCACACACTTTCCCCTAACTTCTAGGTCTAGTGCTCCCAAAAGTCTGGCCCTCCTCTTTTTGAAATGTACTATGAAAAACAGTTTTCACATGTAAATGAGTAAGCCATCCATCATACCTTCCGTTCATGAGGCTCCCGTATGACGACTGGTCTCTGTCTGTCTTTTGGCACCTTGCCTGCCTTTGCTTGGGTCTTGGGTTTGTTCTTAAATGGCAGAGCTTTCTGCAAGGCTTTTGGAATGTGCAGTGAATTAAAATGTTTCCTTTGCCTCACTATAGGCTGAAAAGAAAAATAAATCAAAGAGTGTAACATATTAAAACCATGTTCTCAGTGCATTTAAAAAGTTTTGCAAGATATCTTCAAAGACTTGACTTTCCCATAAGATCAATAACATCAAGACTTTGTTGACCATCATCAGAAATAAGAATTCAATCACCAATCTAATACTGACTGCCTCAATGGACAAACATAATAGTAAAACAAAGGAACGTACATGGAGGACTTCAATAAGTTCATGGAAAAATTCCAGTCCCTTTTCATTCTACATATCTATAAACCTTTAGAACTCCCCTTGTATATTTTATTGATAATTATTTCATAAGATTTACTGTACCAGTTTATTCCTGTTTGTTCTGAGCTCATATTTCCACATCATATTTATTTTAATGAAAAATGCAAAGCTTTGGACACTGAGGTAGTATTATCTCACTTAAATATATATATTTTAAACTTGAATATAATTCTCTCTGGAGTCAGGTGTAGTAGCGTAGTAGTGTTACACATTGAGCTGCAACAAGGTCAGCAGTTCAAAACCACCAGCTATGCAGCAGAAAGATGAGGCTTTCTACTCCTATAAATATTTATAGTCTTGGTATCCTTTAAGGGCAGTTCTACTCTGTTCATTAGGATTGTTATGAGTCAGAAGCGACTAGATGGTAGTGAATATACACTTTTCTGAATGTGAGAACACAGCTCTTCCAATTAGCACAGTGTTCACCTCTGATCTCATTAAAAGTTTAGCTTTATTCTACTATATTTTAAGTATTTCTAGTGGAAGGCCAGCTGAGGGAGATTTAAACAATAGATGAAGGCTGTGGTAGCTGGAAGATTTTATAACAACTTGAATTTGTATGGAAGTGTAGGTGTGGAACCCAACCTGTCGATCAGGTCACAGCCTGATGATGTCTCCTTGGAGGTGTGGCCTACTTATAAGAAAGAAACTGCGAGCCTCCCCCTCTCTCTGCCCTTTGCCTTCCTGCTTCTGGGACTCTTACCTGCCTCCAGTGGTGGCTCCATCTGGGCCAGATCTTGAGAGCTGTTGGCGATCTGCCATATTTCCACTGACCTTGGAACCACTTGACTATGTACCCACTAGTCTGTGATCGTTTCCCATCACGCTTCAACTTTCTGCTTCATTAGCCTGCATCTACATGAGGCTGAAGAGAGCCCCTGCTACTATCAGACTTAAGGACTTGAGTTGACTTCTTGATATAAGATTGTTTTTTGATATAAAGTTCTTCCTTATACATATGAGTGTCACTGGATTCATTTCTCTAGTCACCCTGGCCTAACACAAAGGAAAAACATTCTAAATTAAATTTTCCAAAATTGTCTGCCATCAAGTGAATCCCAATTTCACCATAATTTAAATCCTATGCTTAAATTAAATGAGATGGCCAAAACACTATTAATATGTCGAAAGCTCTGCCCTTGGGTCCTTACTAAAAACAAGATCAGTATTCACTGTATAGAGAATAATATCCAATCATTTGTTTAGGAATCTATGCTCTAGAATTAAAGAATGCAGATATAATAAAAATAAGATAACCCCAAAGTTTACTATTTTATAGAATAAGTCATGCCTGGGGGAGACTTGTGCTTGTAGTAAAATGACTGATGGCCTTGAACTACCCTCTCACAAATTAACTAAATATCCTGGATTAAAAAAAAACAAAAAAACCTTTTAAAATTCATTAATTAGGCTGCCAAGAAAATAGAGGACACTCTCAGAGATAAAAATCTAAATAAAAATGGGAATGTAGACACTAACCCAAACCCTAAAACAAAAAGAGTGAAGAAGACTACTGCTGGCATGGATGTGGACCAACTAGCATTCTGATAGCTGTTTGTGGGAGTTTAACTTGGTATGACTTTGAGAAACAAAGCATTATACACTAAAACTGAATACACGCAAACTTTATAACCTACAATTACATGTTAGGGAATCTATTCAGCAGAAATGTAAGCACAACAAACACACTAAACAACTCACATAGACCAATCAGCATTTAAAATGAACAAAAGTGCAAATGTCTATTGAACAAAAGGAATAAACTGTGACATACTCATATAATAGAATTCTATTTGGTAGTAAAATGGAATATCCATTATATAGAACATGAATAAATTTTATGATACTTAATGAAAGAAATCAGAATAGTACAAAGTTTATAATATTGCAAATGAAGTGCTTAGATCCTTTGTGAGGGTGGAACCATATAAAAAGAAGGTATATGAAGCCCTAACAAAAGAATTAGTCAGTTTTGCCACGCCACTAGGCTTAAGATGGAGTTATTAAAAGATAGGAAGAGGGGTACACCTCACTACCCACAAGAACGAAGAGTTAGGAGTGAGATTGATCCTTTGGATCCAAGGTCCCTGCTCTGAGATACACCTAGACCCAGGAGACAGAGCTATTACACTGGATATATTGCAAGATGGCAAGCAGCAGCAACAGAAAAATGCTACTGGTAGAGTGGGGTGCCTCTGGACACTTAATAATAGAGCTAAAGAGCTTTTTAATATTTGCTCAAGCAGAGCAGAGTCTGAGAGAACGAGGGAAGCCTGCCTGCATGCACAGCTGAAAAGCTGATGAAGGAACTACATCCTGAGTCATTCCTAATGCTGAATTGTAACCTGTTACTTCTCTGATAGACACTGTAACTGTGAGTACAGTTTATGAGTTCTGTGTGGTCACTGTTTATGAAACCAACAGAGAAGTGGAGAGTGCCATGAGTGGAAATGCTTGTGTTACGAACTGATAAGAAAGTTGAGATGAAGGATGTTTGACCTCCCCTCATAAAAATCGGCCCTTGCCTGGTGTTGATCTTTTCCCTTGTGGGCTTAGAGGACCTCTGACACTACCTTGCCTTTTTCATTTAACAAATATGTATAAAAATATTAATATGACTTATGTCTATCAAGTAAATGCTGTTCTCTTAACTAATACATACATAACTTGTACCTTATACAAAGAATCCTTGCTTGGCTTTAGTCTGATACCACGTGCAAGTCTGAGTTGACCTGTTGTCCTCATTCCTGACCAGCTGTCTTTCTCACCCACTGGTTTCAATAAAGATGTGACTGGATTATAGAAGGTTGGAATGGACACAGGATACCAAGTTCGCATGAAAACAATATCTGAAAAAAGAAAACATTCTTTTAATATTATACAGGAACAGATAAACAAGCTCTGCTATATTCATACTATGCATCAATAAAAAACAATGACAACTCTCTTAAACACAAGATATGGGCAAAGCTAGAGAGCATTATGCTTAGCAAACTCAGTCAATTTTATAAAGATAAATACTTAACACCATTTCATTAGGAAAATCAAAGAAAAAGAAACATGGCTTATATATTGATAGATAAGAATTTGATGACTATGAGGGCAGAGACTGGGCTAAGGACAGGAAGAGAGGAGGAATATGTTATTGAGGAGAGAAGGTAGAAGGCTGGAAGAGGGTGAGAAAAAGAATCACATATATGAAGCTTTTAATGAGATACTGTGGTTGATTTCATTTCTTGAGAAGGACTATGTAAATATATATAGTCTGTTTCTTTAAAAACACCCTCCTCAAAAAAAAAAACTCCCACCAGACTTTTTATCACTCAAACCTAAATAGTAGTCTGTGTGGCTTAAAACAAGGGATGAAATAAAATTTAATCTATAGAGATAGTAACTAGATTAACAGTTTCATAGGGTTATGGCACAGGAATTTGGGGCTAATAGTAATGGGTATAAGAATGAAGAAAATATTCTGAAGTTGACTGTGGTGATGAATTACAACTCTTATTAATATAAACTATTGAATTATGTGGTTAATTAATTATATATCAATTAAAAGGGGGTGGGGTCCACAGTGAACTAGTACACTGCTCAAAATGTCTTAACTGAGAACAGTTCTTAAGAAATCTGATTAGGAGTTATAGCAAGATGGCGACCAAGTGGAACTCTGCAGAAATCAGTGCAGGAGAGCCAATGAGGGAAACTCCATTCTTCAGGGTCACAGGAGAAATAGCATAAAGATAAGTAGACACAGATCCACTAGGTTTTAGTGGGCCTTTGGCTTGCCACTGTGTAGGCCGACTGGTACTTAGCTTTAGCCCTGCCACAGTTCAGCCTGTGCCAGGCTGCTCTGACTGGCCCAAGGGCTTTACTTCAACACAACCTCAGTTTGCTGCCACTTTTGGGCAGGGTTTAAACCATGGTCAGGCGATCAGGGCTCAGCTATCTCTTTACTATTTTTCTCTCTCTCTTCTCTTGCCTACCACAGTCTCAAAGGGCTCAGGTTTGTTTATTTGTTTGTTTCCTCCCTCCACCCCCCAACCCCTCTTTCTTTTCACATGCCACTGCCAGTTCCAGGCCACTCCCTTCTACCTAGGGCAACTCCACCAGCTCAGATGGGGGAGTTCGCGTCCATCCTCTGTGGCCTTACAGGCAGCTGGGGAAATCCTGCCCACTTTCTGGCGCTCAGCAAATGGCTCCCATCTACCCTCCAAGGCCCTCTAAGTGGCTGGGGGACCTCCTGCCTGCCCTTTGTGGTGCTCTGCGTGACTCTGGGACACGTGCCTGTCCACCACAGCCCTACATGTGGGTGAGGGAACTTCTGCCTGCTGCAGTGCTCCACATGGCATAAGGGAGCTTCACTGGCCCTCTCCAGCACTCCACACTGCTGTGAGAACCTCTGCCTGACCTCTGCAGCGATCTTGCAAACTAAGGCAATTCCACATACCATCTGTGGTGCTCAACACCAAAGTGGGAACACCCACCCCCACACCCTCCACGGCACTCCCATTGCAGCGGGCACCCCCCCCCTCCCCCCGAAGCACACCTTCTGAGGTGCTCCAAGCCACTATGGGCCATACCACCATGGCTTCCTGGGAGATCATTTACTGGAGCATCATCCTTGTGGGCCCACAACGACTCAAATAGTGTCCCCTGAGAGGATCATCAAACTTGCCCTCCAAATAACAGAATACTGTTTGGCTATGGAAACAGTGAAACCATGGGAAAATAAAGACCGATGCCCCAGTGCAGTTAGCTGTAAGCAGTTCAAAGAAGTATTCATACAAGTCTCCTAGAGAGCTCAGTGCTCTTTGACTCTCTGGAAAGTGGTGCCGGGCTCCTCTAAAATGACACGCAAACACCAACCAGCCCAAACAACCTCAACAAAACAGAAGAGAAACAAAGGCAATGTTGGAAGAAGTCCTGAACCAAGCAACGAGATAAAGGTCATGCACCAAAGGGAAATATAAGACCTAAGGGATGAGATAATACAAGTCAGTAGCAAATTCACAGACTTCACCAAAAGAGTTGAGGAGGCAGAGAATCACACTGGTGACCTAAAAGACAACAAACAGGAAAGGCAGTCAAGTAAGACAATCAAGACGCAGAAGAAAACTTGAAAGCCATGTCTGATGCTATGAAGAGGAAGAACAAGCCATGTCTGACACTATGGAGAATAACTGGACTACCGGAACAAGAAATAACAAAGTCAACAGCAAAAACAGAGAGGAAATTCTTAAAGGAAAACTTCCCCAGGGGCTTAATGAATGAAAACCAAGCAATCATTCAGATCAGCTGGAGTGAACCCCAAGAAGTCACCAAGACATATAATAGCTGAACTATCCAACTTTGGGGTAAAGGAGAAAATCATTAGAGAAGTTAGGGAGAAACAGTCACCCATAAAGGCACCCAAATAAAAGTATGCTCACACCTATCAGCGGACTTAATGAAGAAGAGGAGAGAGCTGAGTAACATTCCATAAAATTGAAGGAAAATAACACAAACCCAAGAATACTCTATCCAACCAAATTATCTCTTAACACACTAAAGACCAGATATTTTTTTTGCCAACTTACCCAAGTGGCCGTGTATTTTTTCAGCTGTTAGGTGTTTTTTTTGCATTAAACCATAAATAGGTTTACATCTCATCAACTTTTTGTCATATTTATTTAAAACATGAAGACAATCAAGTTTGATACATTCACTACTGATGTAACCAAGCAGATGGCATCTGAAGACAGCGTGTAGAAATCACGAGTTTTCTCGTGATTCGTCCGTAACAGATGGGAGAAGAGTCTTCCCAGTGAAGGAAAAGCTCAAAAGAATATGTTAAAAGAACCCAGCCCTACAAAATATCCTTCCTGAGCCAGTATGGGCAGAAGAACAACACTCCCTGAGCACAACTAAAAGACCACCACATAGAGCAACTTCACCCAGAGGTCAACAAATTGAAAACACCCCCCAAGATAGCAATGGTTCAATGGTGGAAAGAATGAAACACATACACAACACACTGATAAGAAAGGGAGTATAATAGTTAAGGTTTATTTTGCCACCTGGGCAACGGCCACATGTGGGATTAAAGGTGGAGAGATAAATGCAAAGGGAGTATAATAGTTAAGGTTTATTTTGCCACCTGGGCAACGACCACATGTGGGATTAAAGGTGGAGAGATAAATGCCTTGGTGAGCCCCACCTGCCTGGTCTCTAGCTCTGATGGTCGGACCAGTGTGTGGCTGCCTTAGCTAGTTCTCTGCCCCAGCTGGGAAGGCTCACTTCCTGCAAGACATCCTTGAGGAGAAGCCACATGGACCTACCCTGATGGAGCCCTAGGTGCTGGAGAAGCCGCCAGTGGAGACCCCTGCCAGTGCTGAGATGCTTACACGCTCACTGATTTGCCTTTCCTTCTACATTTGGCGTCATTGCTTGTGTTTTATGAGTTTGAGGAGGGCTTTGTAGATTGGTGTCAGACATATGCGCTAATATTGGACTTCTGGGCTTGGACTGGACTGGGTTGGGATGCTTACCTTTTATATAAATCTCTCTCTTATACACATAAGAGTTTCTGTGGACTTGTTTCTCAAATACACCCAGACTAACACAGAGAGGTAGGAAAACACCCAACACAAAAGGTAAAAGATGATATCGGAGTCCACAAATGGATGTAATAAATCTGAATACCAATGGACTGAACACAGGCATTAAAAGGCAGAGGCTAGCAAACTGAATTAGAAAACACAATCCTGCTGCCCACAGGAGACACATCTCAAGATTATAGGCAAAAATAGACTGAGCATCAAAGGCTGGAAAAAAATATACCAAGCAAATGGCATTTAAAAAAAACAAGGTTGCAATCTTAATCTCAGACAAAATTGATGTCAAGGTGCAAGCCATAAAAAGAGACAGGAGGGACACTGTATAAAGCTCAAGGGAACAGTAGACCAAGAACCAGTGAACATAATATTTATGTGCCCACAAAAGCTACGAAATTCATCAATCAAAAGCTCCAAAAGATGAAAAAAGAAACACAGGCTCAACAATTATAGTAGATAACTTTAATAGACCACTCCCTAAAAAAGATAGATCACAGGGAAAGAAACTGAATCAGGAGGTTACAGATCTAAACATTACAATTAGACAACTTAACCTGATAAGATATTTTCAGAGCTCTCTAACCAAATACAAAAAAATTCATTCTTTTAAAGTCCACATGGCACATACTCAAAGACAACATAGAGACACAAGTCAAATCTGTAAATCAAGCACATAGAGATGATACAGGCTTCTCTCTCTGACTACTATGCCATAAGGCTGAAAGTCAACAAAAGGATTATTAAGAATTCCAGGGCAAACAATTGGAGGATGAATAACTCTTTACTACAAAAGGAGTGGATACTGGCCCAGATCAGGTGGGCAAAGAACATGAACAGAAGTTTCACAAGGGCAGAAATACGAATGGCCAACATATGAGAAAATGTTCATTAGCCATAAGAGAAATGCAAATTAAAACAACTATGAGATGCCACCTTACACCCAACTCAAAAAATCAGAACGTACCAAGTGTTGGAAGGGCTGTGATGAGATAGTAACTCTCATCCACTGCTGGTGGACCTGCATGTATGTAAAGCCATTTTGGAAGTATGCTTAAAAATGCAAAAGGGAAAAGGGGAAAAATCCAATATATACATACATTTCTGGGGTAAAGTCCAGGTACTATGGCAGGGGCCAGACCTAATCCACGGATATGTATAGCAGCCAACTAAAAATGGGGGGGAGGGGTGTGAGAAGGGTAGCAGGGGAACAGGGCAGTAACCCACCCAAGGGTAGGGTATTGTTTACATCTCCACAGGAGAGGGAGAGGGGGACCAGACTTCAACCCAGTGGGCCAAGACA